AGTCCGCCAACAACGCCACCCAGGGCGGGCAAATGGTCCCGACACTGGCCTTCGGCATTCCCGGCGGACCGAGCATGGCGCTGTTTATGGGCGCCATCATGATTCATGGAATCGTGCCCGGCCCGGATATGCTGAGCCGCAATCTCGACGTGACTTATGCCATGGTCTGGAGCGTTGCGATCGCCAACATTCTGGGCGCCGGTATCTGCTTTCTTTTTGCAGGCTACCTAGCCCGCTAGACGTTGCTGCGTTACACGCTCTTGCTGCCGGCAATTATCTGCATCGTCTATATCGGCGCATACCAGGCAACGCGTGACTGGGGCGATATATATGTCCTGCTGATCTTCGGGGTCATTGGCGGGACGATGAAGCGGCTGGGTTGGCCACGCCCACCTCTTGTGCTCGGCTTTGTTCTCGGCGTGATGATCGAGCGCTACCTGACAATATCGGTCACTCGATTTGGCATCGAGTGGCTCGCCCGTCCAGGGGTGGTTGTCCTGTTCGTCATCTCCGCCGTCATGCTGATCAAGCCGCTCTGGGGGAACTGGAAGAAATTTCGGGCAGGCGGGGGGAACAGGCTTGCGTTTGTTTTCACCCCCGAGCTGCTTTTCTATCTGCCCATCACGGCGATCGCGGCCTACATGCTTTTCGAGGCAAGCGAGTGGACATATCGGGCGCGCCTGGGTCCCACGATTGTGCTGACCACCGTCTTGATAGCGATTGCCATAAGTTTTGTGGGGCAGATCGTAAGGCCAAGGATACCCGACGCCGACGACGGAGCCCATTTCGATGTGAAGAGCGACATGGGTGGGCTGGCAAATATGGTGGTGCTTCAGCGCGCTGCCATCTTCGCTGGCTGGATGATTGGCTTTTGCATATCCATGGCGCTCATCGGCATGATGCCAACAGCAGCACTTTTTGTGGTGCTCTACATGCGCGTCGAGGGCAGGGAGCGATGGCTCACCTCTCTGCTCTACGCGCTCGCCATAGCGGTGTTCATCTATGTGATTTTCGTAAAAACGCTGAATGTCCCCTGGCCCCGGAGCATGCTCGGGAATTGGTTTCCCGCGCTTCGCGAGTTCATTCCAACCATTTAGCGCGCGACCACAAACGACAACACATGTCTGGGTCCACCATCTCTTGGCCCGTCCATAAATCTGAGGGAAGGACTGCAATGTTCGAGCTTGAAATTCAGGATCTGGTATATCTTGATCGCGACAATGTCGCGCTTGGAGCGCGCGCCTATGTTCCGGTGGGCGATGGCCCTTTTCCAGCCGTTGTGGATGCGCATGGCGGGTCTTGGGTGAAAGGAAAATATGCCAATAACGACCCGATCAACCGGCGCATTGCGCAGGGCGGGGTTATGGTGCTGGCAGTGGACTACAGCCTGCCGCCCAACGGCACCTATCCATCATCGGTGGCCGATATCAATTACGCGGTGCGCTGGCTCAAGCTCTATGCGAAAAAATTTCGGACTTCGGCCGATCTTGTGGGGGTAATGGGTACGTCTGCCGGAGGGCATCTCGCCGTACTTGCGGCAATGAAACCCTC